AGAACAGAATTATTTTACTTTAAGAATAACTTTATTGAGATAGTATTCACACCTCTAAGTCACCCCTTTAAAATACACAGGTGAGCAGTTTTTAGTGTATTTATAGAATTGTGTAACCACCATCACTACCTAGTTTTAGAACATGTTGGTTACCCCAGGAGAAATCCCCATGAGCAACCATTAGTTCTTCACAATCCCTAGCCCTAAGCAACCACCCGTCTACTTTCTGTCCCTCTGGTCTTGCCTGTTCTGTACATTCACAGTAATGGAATCATACATGATTTGCTTTTGTTTCACTGGGCATGTTTTTAAGATCCATCCATATTGTAGCATATATCAGTATTTCATTCATTTTCATTGCTGAATCAGATTCTGTTGTATAACTGGACATGGTGACACACCTTTGTAATCCTAGAGACTCGAAAGGCTTAGGTAGGAAGCTTGCAAGTTCAAGACCAGCCTCAGTAACTTAATAAGACCCTGTCTCAAAATAAAAATAAAAAAGTTTGGGGATGTAGCTCAATGGTAAAATGCCCTTGAATTCAGTCCCTAGTACCAAAAAAAAAAAAAAAAAAAAAAAAAAGGGGGGGGGGAAGATCCTACTGTATAGATAGATGTACCACATTTTTTTATCCCTTTACCAGATGAAGGATATTTAGATTATGTCTATCTTTTGGCTATTATAATGCTGCTATGAACATTCATGCACATGATTTGATGTGGACGTGTTTTCAGCTCTCTTGTGTCTACACCCAGGGGTGCAACTGCTAGATCATATGGTAACTCTGTTTAACCTTTTGAGAACTGCTCAACTCTTTTCCAAAGTGGCTACACCATTTTTTCTTCTCACCAGCAATACAGAAGGATCTCAGTTTCTTCCTAACCTCACCAGTACTTGTTATTGTCTGGAAATAAAACTGTTTTCAATGAAAATATAAAGTCATTAAAACAGAAAATACCAATTAGATTATGTTATACTCATTGAAGATGGCCCATATGTAAATCACATGACATTAGAAATTTAAAACCAAATGCCACTTTGTATCTCTGTATACAAAGCAACTCATTGGAGTCTAATTACCTTATCATTAATGTTCACCAGGTGGTTGGGAAATGCAGGTTTTCTTTTATGTCTAATTGAGAGGTAGAGAGTGGTGAAATGATTACGTGTGTGATGCTGTTGAGAGTCAAATCCGTTTCTGACAAGCAATTAAATATAATTGAAATAGGACAAATTGAGTAACAACATTAAATTTGCAAAATAGGAATGAGCAGATATTATTAAATGTATGCCATTCTCTAGGAGTTGGGTGGTGAGTTGGCATTAGGGCCAGAGCTCTGGTATTTTTATTTACTTGGGTTAGTTCCCATCCGCCCACACTTGCCTCCCATACTAATCAAAGGAGTTCATGAGACATTCCCCAGTAAGCATCCTGTGCAGAGAGGATTTTATTTTTTAATGAAGTGCTAGAGTTTAATGTGGTCAGGAAGGAAAATGATCCTTGGGGCTTTCTTAGACTCAGGCTTGTTTTTTATGAATCTGGGAGACCTGCCATAGGTACTATAAAAACAAAAATGTAAATCTAGACAGTCACTCTGAGCCCAATTGTCTAGCTCTTCCGTGGCTTCCCTCGACCTATTATTGTGTCACATGCACAAAAGGCTTGACTCTATCTCTATCTGCATCTTGAGCCTCAGCTGCTGCCACTTGCAGGTGCTAAAATGTTTGTGGGTCCCAGTGTACACACTGTGATCTTCCCACCCTCTGCTCCTGTGGCGTTTCCTCTGGTGGGAGTTACCCTCTCTCTGTGCATGACTCGATTCAGGCTCCACCTCCCCAGGAAGCACTTAAGAGTGCTTAAGTGATGCTGGTCCAAGGCAGAACACTGAGCTGGAAACTTTGTTCACTGAGAAGAAGAAAGGAAAAAGAAAACACCAGAAAACATCCCCGGAACTTATTTATGTCTGAAAAAGACAGAAATTAAACAGTAAACATGATAACTCCATAGGTTCCTTGTGTAGTGGAGGTAGTAGGTCTAGGAAATTCCAAGAAATGAAGCAGAGGAATGGGAACAGGAATGTCCAAGTGGGGAAAGGTGAGCACTAGGTTAAATAGGGTGTAGGTGGGCTTCACCTAGAAAGCCGGAAGGGGATGAGGGATCAGCAGCATGAGCTTTCTAGGTAGAGCCAAGAGCCAGCCCCAGACACTGCTCCATTGCGAGATCATGTGTTAGGCTGTCAACCTCCAGCCCTGGGGGAGTTGATTGGTGAGTTCTCCAAGAATCTTTCTGTAGACTAACGTATATTTCCATTTGGATCTTTTAAATTCTAAAAATAGTTCCAAGGCAGCTCTCTCCTTTGCCCTTTTCCCTCCCACGTCTCTTTCCAGCACACAGGGTTGGACTATTAATAGCCCAGAATGTCCCCTCAGGAGTACTCAACACTTCAGTCACAAGATCCTGTGAGCTCCCTTCTGCACTGAAGGATCCAGATTTGCCCTCTGAAATAAAAGCCCCATAAGCATTTCTTGCTCCCAGAGGACCAGCACTGTGTCTCCTTTTCCTTTTGGGGTTCACATTCTGTTACTTCTTTTCTTGGCCTTTCATCTCTGTCCTCATGGTTACCTATTAGTGTTCTCTGGTTTCTCTTTTGTGCTGTCTGTCAATTCTTCCCCCTGCTGGCGAAGACGTGGCCTTTCTTCACAACCCCCTGACTTCCCTTCCCAGAGGAGTCTAGCACAGCCCTCCCTGCACATCACTTTAGGAATCTTTTAGTGCCCTCACATTGACTAATTAGATTTTGGTGGTTTAAGTCCTCGTGACCATTAAAATTAATTTTTTTCTTTCTTCTTTTTCTTTTTTGCTGTAATACACGTTGTTTTCTATTGCTTTTTCTTTTCTTTTCTTTTTTTTTTTAACACAAATGATTTTTTACATCATTGTGTTCCCAGCTGGCTTTGGAAGTCAATACCAGGAATGTTTTTATCCCCTTAGTGCTTCTTTGCTCTAACAACACAATAATCTCAGTTAAAAGAATTGGCTCAACACCTGTGCTTATTTTTATATTTCTGGATGGAAAATGTAATTTTTCCTTTTCGATTGCGTCTCTTTTATTTCCGTGTATCACAAACTTTAAATGTCAGAAGATAATCTTTTTTCTTTTCTTTTTTCATGGAATGTCACACCTGGAACTTCTTCCAAAGCTGCATTTCTGAAGTACAGATAGTGGCAGCTTTGTCCCTCTTCTCCCTCGATAGTCATTTCATGCTCATTGGAGATAAGCGATCTGCAGATTTTGTTGACTTGTGATTGCTTCATAGTCAGTCTTCCATTTTATAGATGCTAAGAAGTACACGTAAATTTGTCTATGCCTTTTAGAAAAGGTTTTAATTTCATCCTTTATCCTATATTTTATCACTGGATTGTGGGTTTTTTTTTTTTTTTTGCCTAATTTTATTCTCTTATTTAATTTTTTTATCAAGGTAATAATGGGACATAGTCTTAAGGCCAAATTATTTACAGTGCTTATCACAAAAATTAGCACTTTGTCCCCCAATCTCTCATTACTCCTTGCCTGCTCTTCTTGACCCTTGGCACCTGTGACAGTCTCTTTCCACTTCATTACTAGACTTTTTCTGGTGTTTAGCTCCATATCTTTACGTGAGGTGATGATTCCAGCACTTTTTTTTCACTTTCTGCTTTTTTTATTGACTGTGGAAGATGAGGATTTAGCCTGCAAATAGCCTGTCAGTTTAACATAGTTAGGTCAAACTCATTTTTTTAAAAAATAGTAGTTATGTTCAGAAAGAAAATTTTTTATTGATTTTAAAATACCAGAACTCCTCAGACCAGAGTTCTAGAAAACAACAACTGAGTTTTCATAGTGCATTGCAGGGAAATGCAGTAACAGAAAATATTAGAGCCAGAGGTGTGGAGATATGTATAATTTTAAGAGGATAACCCTACTAACAATTTTGATTTAGCTAAAATGTTAAAATAACAAATGAGAAATCTTCATTTACCACTTGTTGCAGTAGTAGTCACTGAATGAGTTTTGTTTTCAAATTCTAGTCAATTAGTCTTAATCACTGAACATTTCCTAGGAGCTGGGGTGAAAGTTTAGCCCTACTTAATAGATTTGCATGAAAAACCTCACAAGGGAAAAAGTAGTAATTGCCTCAGAATGAGAGGTGGAACATATTTTAAGATACTTGGAGATTGTCTCTTATGTGTTCTCTTTGGTTTAATTTTGATTTCACATATTTTAATTTGTTTCTCTCTTTTTCCCTTAATGTATCCTAAAGAATGTGAAACACTGACAATCTCATTCCTGATTTTCTTCTTCTGTACCACTGGATGCACTTTTTTTTTCCTGTCAATGTTATAAGAGAAAAGTATCTTGGATCAGGGTATTGTAATTTAACAACCTGATATTAGTGGCAGCTCCAAAGGTATATTTTGTGTAAGTTCAAATACATTGTAACAGGGCTGGAGGACATAGCACTGTGGCGAGCGCTTGCCTAGCATGTGCAAGGTCCAGGGTTCAATTCCCAGTACCACAAATACAAAAAATACTCTGTAACATTTTACCCAGGTAAAGTTCCTACTTTTTTGGTTCTTTTCTCTTCCTCCTCCTTCTCCTCTTTTATGTTTTTGCATATTTAAGTTCTGCAGAATCACCTCTTTGCTCCTAATCAAATTTTTCACTGTTCAGATCTATCAACCTTACATTTTCACTTCTAACTTAACTTAAATGCTGGTTGTTAATCATTTCCTTCCCAGCTATACTCAGAGTGATCTAACTGAAGATGTTCTGTGCTGAACACGAGGTTACAAATTCAACTTTTGCTTCTTTTTGCAAAGGCACTGAGACGTGAGTTGAAGGAGAAAGAGTATTCTGTCCTGAATGCAGTGGATCAAGCTCGAGTTTTCCTGGCTGATCAGCCAATTGAGGCCCCTGAAGAACCAAGAAGAAGCCTACAGTCAAAAACAGGTGAGACTGGTTCCTTTAATACATCACAAAAACACATGTTAGGAGAACAAAACCATAATCAAGTAGGGAATTTCCTTATAGTATTCATGATCTAATAGTTTAAACTTTTCTTTTAAGTATTACCTTCATTGAGTATATATTTAACAAATATCCAGATTCAAGTTAATTAATAATTGCAAATGGGAAAATTATTTAAAATATAATATTAAACAAAAAATATTTAAATCTAAAGTAAGTTTTTTAAAAAAACTTCTGTCAACATGAGACACAGCAAAGTGCCCTTTTTTTCCTTCAAGCAGATAATAGCATTAAATTTAAAAATAAAAACCTATAGCATTTAGGCACTATGGCTCAAAATTGAAACAGGAACTACCTTATTGGCAAATAACAATCTGTCACATAGTACATTTAAGAGAAAATTTGTAATAAATTTTGAGGCCAACATTTTTCTTTTGGTTTTTCACTGTTGAACATTAAAAGCATTCTGATGCATTTTTAAAAATAGACTCGACATTCAAAATATTTTCCATTGTTCACTTCACATGGCAAAAGCAAACCTGAAGAGTGCCTCATGCTATGTGCAGCTTGTAAACCATGAACCTTTCTGACTTGTATGGGAAGCACAGTTGGAAAACACTTTCCTTGACTATAGCAGGGACTGGCTTAGACTTTTGCAAGGCAGCCATGCCCTGCTGAACCTTATTTATGGAGGAAGCTCCTCTCAGTCTGAGTAATTTCCCATCATGGCTCTGATTTTCTTGACTCTTTGAACCTAGTTGTATGTGTGTGTACGTGTACAGCACATGGCACGTGCACACACATACAGTCATTTCCAACATTACTTTTTGTTTTCTGCTACTGGTATTGCTCCTTTCTAGTTAGCCTACTGGGGAGAAAGTCACTGTTGAGTCTCCCACCTTTCATCAAACCCCACAAATCACTCCTAATTGTTATTTCTATCTTTGAAGAATGATTGTTTCTGAGGACAGCTGCTCCTACCCTCTTCCCCATTTCCTTGGGTTCTGCATTTAAAAATTTCACTAACTATGGGTTGAAAATTTTTGAAAAAAATATCTCATTTTCCTTGTCATTATTTCCTAAACAATAGAGTATGACAGCTATAAAGCCATGTACAGTACATTAAGTATGAAAACTATTTATAAAGCATGTACAGTGCATTAAGTATTATGAGTAATCTAGAGATAATTAAAAGTATGCAGGAGGATATTTATAGGGTATATGCAAATACAGTGCCATTGTATATAAGGAACTTGAGTATCCATCTTTTTTTTTTTCTTGGTGTCTGTGGGATATGCTGGAACCAATGCAAATCAAAAGGGATAATTGTACAGTTATAGATTTATTATGTACACACCCAACACATGTATACAGACAACAGACCCATGCACTATTATTAATTCCAGATTCTCAGCTTGCTGTCCATAGTCTTGGGATAGTTTTAGCACTTGTCAGTTCGTTTTCTGTCCCCTTATATATCATGCAGTATTTGCCCCCGTGGTTCCCTTCTTCATGTTGGCCTATTCATGATGATGAGTGAAATCTTTTAGAATCACATTCATCTCCCTTTCCTGATTAAACATCCCCACTGACTTTCCATTCCATACTGAAAAAAAACTTTTACTCTAGCATGACATTTGAAAATCATTGCAATCAAAGCCTTCCTGAGTTACCCAAACCAGTTTTTTTTTTTCTTAAGATTTTCATAGTTCCATACCCAATGTGTATTATCTACTCAGTGATTTTTGGAACTCTCTTGTCAGAGTTATGCTCAATTTTCTTTTTCCATTTTTAAATTTTTTGAAAAGAATATTTTAAAGATTGCTTATATCCTTAATATAGACTATCAGAAGGTTTAAGATCTTTAGAAATGAACTACTACAGATTTGCTCACCTTACAGGTGAGAGACTGAGGACCACTGAGAGGAGACAACCTGCTCAGGACCCAGTCCAGTCCTGTTGGATACCCAACATATACTGTTTTCATTTTTATTGGTTTATTTTCAGATGTTAAAATTCATCTATTTGCCCTGAGTTGAAGACTCTAGCTTTAATAATTTTGTATCCTATGCAGTGCCTACATATATTAGGCACTTGGTCAATGTTTGATGAACAATATGTGACTACCAGTATAAAAGCAAGTGCTGTAAAGAAACTGACTTACTATTCGGACTCTACATATGCTCTACTACAGGAGCATTTTTGTGAGCTAAATGACTAATAATGACCCCCATCATCACCAAGTTTCAAATCAAAGAAAATGAACACAAACTACAGGGAGTTTCTTGGAAGAGCTAAACTCATGGCACTTGCTCTTCCTCAAGTTTTGAGTCCATAAAGCATAACCAGGTGGGGGGCTGGGGATGTGGCTCAAGCGGTAGCGCGCTCGCCTGGCATGCGTGCGGCCCGGGTTCGATCCTCAGCACCACATACAAACAAAGATGTTGTGTCCGCAGAGAACTAAAGAATAAATATTAAAAATAAAAAAAAAAAATAAAAAATAAAAAAATAAAGCATAACCAGGTGGGAGAGAAACTGGTATGATGAGCGGTGGTGATGGGTGGTAGATGAGTGGTTTTTTACATGAAATGGAAAGAAACCCCAGCTCTTCTAGAATAAGCGATCAGTGTCTCTGGAGTTCCTTTCCCTTATCTATCCCCAAATTCCTGCCCTCTCCTGCCATCCTGACTCTGCCCCACCCCATACCCCTATGCCAGTCTTTGCATCTTGTCCCACACAGCTCTGACCTCTGGGTTGCTCAGGTCAGAATCCTTTGGGCCATTCTGGCTCCTTTAGTGGTTAAATCCACTCCATTAGCAACTCCTGTTGTCACTACATTGGGAATATACTAGAATCTGATCCTTCATTACCTCTTCACCACTAGGCTAGCCTTTTCTGTATTTCACCTGCCCACAGTGTATATTATCTCATATCCTCATTTCTAGGCCTGGGAAATGTAAACTCCAAGAAGACACAGTTTTTGTTCATTGTTTTTTAATGCTGTATTTTCTAATGTCTAGAATACTGTCTGGCACATCTGGCACATAGTAGATACTTCTTACATACTGATTGAGTGAATCGACACGTCAGGTGAGAATTGTCAGGATAGATAAAAAAGCATAATCCCAGATATTCTTGAGAAGGGTTCAGGTTAGTTGGAGACCAAAACCAGTAGAAAATGGTGAGAAAGCAAGCAATAAAGTGCTTGGTTGTACATCCCAAGAGAGAAAGAGTCTGAGGGTCAGAGTAGAGAAGGTGGTTCCTAAGCGACTCTTATAATGTGTCGGGAGGCAGTGATTAGGCTCCAGGAAGATTGACGTCCGTGCTAGGACAGATCCTATGACAGTGCAGCCTTAGGGAACAGAGAGTGTGTTGGGGAAGGAGCAGCCCAGCCCAGTAGTCAGAGGCCTGTACCTAGTCAGGAGGTGGGATGGGAAAGTCGTGTGTGCCATGTGGCTCAGAATGCAGAGGATCTGGAGATTTGGGTAGGATGTTTCAACTTCATCTGACAGAAAGAAGACACTAGTATAGGTTTGTCTTTTTGTTTATTTATTTAAATTTATTTATTTATTCATTTCTTTATTTTGCATTACAATTCTTAATACACCATTATACAATAATTTAACGTATCTCTGATTATATATAAGGTATGTTGACACCAAATTCACATCTTCATACATGTATTTTGTATAATGATGAGGATCCTTAAATGTGGGAGAAAAATAAGAAATTCTCTTGTCTGCATTAATTTAATTTAAAGAGTCTTTCTGAATCTGCTTTCTTATCTCCTTGCTTTCCTAGGCCTTGGCAGAGAAGGGAGGAACAGCTTTTATAACCAGCTGTTTTATGGCAACATCAAGGTTGTCACATCACTCTAACGTCACCTTGCCATAGGTTCTTCTCAGTGATCAGTCACTTAAGGGTTAAAAAGATGCTGCTTTTGAGTTCTCAGTTTGCTGGTATTTTCAGGATATTTCTAAGCCCAATTCAAATACCACCTGGGGGGGATGGGCAAGAGAAAAAGTTATGTCAATTTAACTTTATGGGCTTTTTTTGTTTTGTTTTACGATTGGCAATTTCCATATTCTGTCCTTTCTTGATATTATTTCTGTTATGCTGGCTGATTTTACCTGCTGTTAAAAGTAAATGAAAGAAAATTATCCATAATAGCTTTTACACTTTTGTTGTTTACCATGACTCATGTGTCACTGCTATCAGAAACAGACAGCATTTGAACATTAGTTATCCTTTGTGACACCCAAGGGCTCAGTGTTGGAGGCATTAGCACCTGGAGAAACTGTATTATGGTTTCTTAGTTCTGTTTAATAAGCATTTTTGAATGTGTTGTGTGCACCATCCCCTAGGGGACCAAGATGGATCCATCTCTTTACTTTTGATTCCAGAAAACACTTCTCTTCATAATTTTCCTCTCCCCAATGCTTTTTTTTTCTCCTCTCAATGTTTTTTTTTTTTTTTTTCTTTTTTCCCCTATCATCAATTTAAGATATCTTAAAGTATTCTGGCTTTTTATTTGTTTTAAATTGTTATTTTAATTATACAAATTTGTGAGGCATGGGGGTGACAATTTGATAGATACATATATACGGGGTGCACTGTTCAAAGCAGGGTATGTACTTTTTAATTTTTTAAAAATCACTACTGATATTACCATCCTACATTAGACCCTTACTGTCCTTTGTGAGACTTCTTTCAATACTTTTTTCACTGACACTCTGTTGATGTGAACTCTAGAATGATGTAAAACACAGAATTGGCATTTGTTTCTGTGATTTAAACTCCCCCTGGAGTGGGGTCCAGGCTCCTTGCCCTGCCCATTGGAGTCTGCACTGTGATTTGGCCTCTGCTTTTCTGTGACTTCTGTCATGCCCTTTCGGTTCCACCCACAGTGTCCACTGAACACCAAACTTCTCATGACGCTGTGCAGTAAAGGTCTTCCCAGCCTTCATCCTGCTGTCCATCCTGATCTTCCCGCCTATAGATGCCTCCTGCCTGGCCCAGCTCAGGCTGCTCTTCCGGATACTTTCCCTTCCAACATTCGTCCATGATTCCATGGCATCTTGTCATCTCTCTCTCTCTCTCTCTCTCTCTCTCACCAAATCTGTGCTGGAAACTCGGCCCTTTCCCTGTTCCTTAATGGCCATTTCCATTTATTGAGAATCTAAGCATGAGAGGTGATGTGAGCCACCAAGATAGATATGGATGGAAAATACAGTGCAGATTCTTCTCTGGTTCTCAGGCAGGCACTCAAGGAGTCTATCAGAGCTCTGAGCTCGCACTTGACACTGTTGCAGCCAGTTGAACTTGATGTCTAGTGAATTATGAACACTACAAAACAGAAGTAGCAAGGCAGGGGAAAGGTTGGCAGTGGGAAGTGACTCTGGCCGTCTGAGAGCAATGTGGAAAAAAACATTGTGCAGAGGTTCTGTGAGAATTCTAAAATGAAACAAATTAGTCATGTTTGGAGCTTTTTACCAGAAAAGAAAAACTGCAGTTATGAATTTTGGTCTGTTTGTTTTTGAAGCCAGGCTATAAATCAATTAAAAGAAGACACAGGAATTTATACTATATTTGAATAAATTTCTTACCAAAATGATAACCATAAAAAAATAGGGCTAACATATAGTCATCTGAAAAAACTCAGCTATCTGAATAACTCTTTTCTATTTGGAAGTGATAATTAAGTAAATATTATTTTTTAACTGAACTAAAATTAACTGAATAGTAATAAAAATTTTACAAAGTTCACAACTTTGTCAGTAATCCCCTTATTTTGTTTGAGCAACATAGAAATAATTGATTTCATATAGTCAGTATCATACTGATATATAATTTTTCCTTTTAGTTGAATTGTTTCTATTTGATTATAATCAATTTGTATTAAAAAAGTAGAACAATGGAACAATAAATCTCTCATCGTTCATATTGTTCTTTCTACTTTTAAACCACTTTCATTATCATTGCCTGAACTATCTCAATGAGTTAGACAGATGATTTTTTTAAAAAAGTACGAACACAAAGGCCAAGAAAATACTTTGGTGCTGAGCAAGGTCATGGAGCTAATGAAGGGTAGAAGATGCAAGAACAGAGACTAAGCTTCCATGTCAGTGACCTTTCCCAACCCTCAGGTTTTTGACGGGCTTTTGGCTCATCGCTTTAATTTCATCTCCTCTATCTGCTCATTGATGAGCCATCTGGCTACTGACCTCCTTGCTCCTACGTGACTCTCAGAGTCTAGAGTCTCTTGACCTTGCACACATATTTTTTGGTTTCTGCTTTGTGCTGCCAACGTCCCTTGCTGTTCTCAGTCTCAGATCTGAATGGCTCTGAAAACTGCAGAGCTGCGTAATGAATCCATGCAAGGCACTGTGGGACTCACAATCACAGGTGGCCTTGGCCCACTCCAATCCCCAACCTCTGGAGGTGGTCAAGGAGTACATGTGCCTTCTCCCAGTGTGTCACCTGTAGTTCATGTTGAAACCACGTGTACACTGGGGAGTTAGAGCCTCTGTGTCGATCCCGGCTCTGCACCACGTGCAGTTGCAGGCAGGCAGGTGTGAGCACACACGAGCATCCCACCAGGCATGTGCACACACAAGTACTCCACCCCCAACCCAGAGATGTTATGATTTGAGATTATGGTCATATATCTAAATAAAACTGCTAACAGTTTTACCAGATATTTTGCTTCTAAAAGTGTATAGAAAAATCTCATAATTCATTATAAATATGTATAAGAAAAATTCTTACCTTCTGCTTTTAAAAAGAGACTTCATTATTTTGTTTTAATTATTTTCCCCAGGAATTTCCCATTAATTCTTACCATGAATGTACTTTAAAAATTCTTCTTGTCGAGACACTAATATTATTTCATTCAGACTGTCTGGGAACATTGCTTCCTTTAAGCCTGACACAGTCATTTTTGCTTCATTTAAATGATATTTCATTAATGGTTATAGGGAAAAAACAGTTCTTAATTTAGTGTGTTTGTACATGTAGAGTTATGTGTAGTGTGGAGAGTTGTGTATTTGTGTATATGCACATACAGCTTTTTATCGTTGTGTATAACTGTGTTTAATGGTCAATAATCATCTTTTCACTTATAAGGTACATATGGATCACTGTTTTCCTCTTTGGTGGCTGGCTATTTATATTACTAGTATTTAATATTTTAATTTGGGGTATACTGTTTTCTTTTATTTATTAAATATTTTAGAAAGCCATGTACTAGCAGTGTTTCTCTCCTATGTGAAATCTCATGTATTTGAAAACAAAGAAGTAATAAATAACATTTTCCTGCCATGTCAGTGCACTCTATGCTAGTACTAACAAACTCATGCAAATAAAATTTTATGATCATTAAATGAGTGAAGATGTGAAATTATCATAGTTTAATAAAAGTTACTTTTATAGCAATTCTCAGTGTAACTTAAGATTACCACATCATTTCTTTATATCTAATAAAATTAGGTCAAATCATACCTCACCTAACAGAAGTAATTAGGCCAGTCAAGCTAACAGGTGTTTTTCCAAAGGCTATTTTGTGTCTGCTTTGATTTGTTTTCCTAATAGCAGCTTTGTTGATTAGAAGTCCATTGGTGGTAGTGACTGGCAGACCCCTTGCTTCTGACAGGCTGAGCTCCCACCCACACAGGCATGCAGGGGGATGCACTGGCCCCATAACCAAGCGGTAACCAAGCCACAGGAGGCACGGGGCTCTGCCTGCTGCAGGGCTGGAACACCACCCAGGAGCCTTTCCTCCGTGTCTTATGCTGGCCTCTCCACAAGTTTTCATTTTCTGGGCTTTTCTCTGATTTTTATACCACAGCCTGCCAGGAATGGAAAGATAACCCTTCCTTAGATCTAGAACCTTCTTGGAGAGGGTTTGACTAATTGAATTAGAGCAACAGGACCCAGGGTCTTTTAGGATTGACAAGCTCTCATTGTAAGTAATGCTAAATGGAAGGGAAATCAATTCTTATAAAGGAAAGGGCAAGTGAGAAACTGTTGCCCAGAAAGATGTTCCCAACAAGCCAGAATTTATCAGATGCTTCCAGTGCGCCAGGTGCTATCCAAGCAGCCACAAGCTTGGTTCCATTTAATTTTCATAGCAGCTTAGATATGAGCACGGTCACCACCCATTTGATACAGACAAGGAGGTAGTTTGAGAGGATCAGAGGCACCCTACCACCCATGTGACAGGACTGAAACATGAACCAAGGCCTCTGTCACTACACGTGGTGCTCTTAACCACCATATGTGTTATCCTGGCTCCCTCAATGATCATTAGTGGTGAATATCTAGATATTCAGTAGAAATATGATTTTATTTCTATAGTTTACCCAGTAATAAAATACATGTGTAACTCTCTGCCATTTTTTTCTCTGTTGCTTTTCTTTTATTGAATCATCATGCTGCTAAGTAGACTTGCTGACTGCCTACCACCCAGGAAGAAGGTGTTCAGGCAATATTAGACTTTGTCTTTTTAATTTTCATATGAAAACTTGAAGTACAAGTAATTGCTTTCAGGCCTGGAGACCACAGCCATAATTTAATTAGCTTCTCAAGTCCAAATTAGATTAGTAAAGTTGTAATGCATGAAAAAGCACAGAAAAATACTTTACTTTCTTTTCCAGTGTCTTTGTAACTACAGAGTAATAAAATCCTTATCAAATTAAAGTTCTGTAATATCTGTATGGTGTAATAAATTTAGTCTTTAACTATTCTGAAATATAATGAGTCACTGAGTCGGTTGAGTAAGCCCATCCATTGGGCAAAAATACCAAAAAACATTTTCATGCCTGTCTATATCATAGTAATGGCGTCCCATTTAAATAAGCAAATCGACATTGCTGATGTTGAGAGCAAAGGTTAGTTTGATGGACACTGCATCCTAGATTGATTGTTCACCATCTGTTATTTTCAATAATCAGTGTTACCACCACCCATAAATCACATTTGCCTCATGAAAAAGACAGCAGCAGTTTATATGTATGATTTTTATGATAAGCATCTGGAGTGTTACTTTTTTATTTAAACATAAAGAATAGGAGGGTAATAAACTCTTCCAGTGTAGTGATCTACATTTTTTGTTACTATTCCTTTTTGGTATTTTTTGAAATTTTGCTTTTTTTGTTATTGTTGCTTTTTAGTAGACAGCAGGAATCTTCCAAGAATGAATTAGAAGTTTTTACCATTTTTTAAGAAAGTGTAGTCTTAGCAGAGACATAAATTCTCTTCTTCAATTAAACTCTCCTTGCTTATTTTGTGGAATTCATAAACATAAGGCATATTTAAATTTCTTTTATAAGAATGGCCAAGTGTGGGCAGAAAGCTCCTGACTTTTGTGGCTTGGTCAACCATTAGCTACTGGGAAGCAGCCTGGTGAAAGCTATACAGCAGTGTGACAAGAATGGGAGACTTTTAATCTAAAACTGGCTCTTGATTTCTCTTTTTTTCCTCTTTCTCCTCCTCCTCCTCCTCCTCCTCCTCCTCCTCCTCCTCCTCTTTCTCTTCCTTTTTTCTTTTGTTAAGTCAAAGATGCACAAAAATCTATTAATTCATTTAACAAATGCTTCCTGAATGTTCACCACTTGCAGGGTGGTGATCTAGGTATGGGGAATACATCAGGAATGAAGACACATTTCCTTGTCCTCCTGAAATGTACCTCCCCAGCTTCTCTTCTCTCCTTGCAATGCCACCTGCCTGCCCCTAGTGACCTGCCTGCCCCTGCCCAGCACACTAACTTGAATAATTCTTGAAACTGTCATTACTGTGCAAAAAGTTAGGGAATGTTCAGTTATAGAAAATTGTGAATTGGACCTTGAGTTGCTTGGCTATTCCTGCTCTTTTCCTGGAGGTTTATCTCCTTAAGGATCTGCCTCTGCTCCTTTTCAGCTCAACACTGCTTCATTGACTTTGGCCATCCTAACATATTTAGACTGGTTCTGTCTCCACTGACTTTCTGATCAGCAGTGCCATTTAGCTCCCTCCCCAGTGTGGTGTATGTTTCTCTCTGCACTCTACCTCCCAGCCCCATACTACCCTTAGCTCCTTGCCTTTTGATATTCGTGAAAGGTATTCTCAAAGTCTCTTTAATTTGGAGTTCTTGATTTTCCCTAAATATATCTATATTCACTTTTTTTCATTTTAATGATTTGATAAGTCCTTTGGCTTCAGAGGTAGGATCCACATTGTCTTTGTCTTATCCTTGGTGAAAGATTTTGGCTACATTATTAGCAGACTGATGCACTCTGAGTAGCCTCTTGTTATTGTCATCCTTATAATAGTAGATGAACACAATTAGAAACATTAATCAGCCGGTAGCACTTGATGGTATGCACTTGCAATCTGGCTCATGATGAGTTGTCCCCCTCGTCATACAGACTGGGAAACAGGCAGGGTCCTCTTAAACACTGATGGAAAATAGAAGAGATTAAGTTGATCTTAATTATTTAATCAGGAAATTTGGGAAGAATGCACTTTCTGTTATTTTAATTAGAAACATCTTTTGGTTATGAAGTAAGAGAGAGAAGCGAGTTGGGGGTGGGAAGTGGAGAGAGAGAGAGAGACACATTGAGGGAGACAGCAAATTCAGTCTTTTCCCTTGAAGAATTTGTGTAGGCTAGTTAACTGGTTTGCTTATATGAAATATCTAGAGAAGTCTATAGGTTTTTCCAGACCTAGTAATAAAATGATAAAAGGAAGTTAAAGAAAGTGACCTTCATTGAGAGCCTGCTACTAGGCAGGTATGTGCTGGGAGCTTTATAGATGTAAGCTGAGGTTCAAAAAGGCAAGAAATGTTTGTGGGGTTAGGTATTGAGTTCATATGGAACTGCATATTGTCTTGCACTAACTTACTCAGCTGTGAAAATGCTACTATTTTTGTTTGCCTTCTGATTTTTTTTTCATCTTTTGGTGAAATACAACAGTAAGATTATAGATAATATGCAAAAAAGCAAAAGTGCAAATAAGATATTTGGAATTACCATACTTGCATTGACTTGATAAGGCTTTTTCTTCCCTTTTACAATAAAAATCTTTATCAGTGCTTTCCATGGATGTGAGAAGAAGGAAGAAAAATTAAGCAGAAAGTTGTTTTTTTTTTTTTAAATCAAGTTGAATATTCTCAATAAAAAATAAGGCTAAAATTTGTGTTCAGTTCAAGGCCATTCAGTAACTATATGTTGAGCACATACCATTCTCTAGTCTGGATGCTGTAACACCAAGGTGGAAGAAAGAAAATATTCATGATGTAAGATTTTAGAAACCAGGAAGAAAAGGTCAAATCAGAGGTTATACATGTCAATGCCAGAATTGAGACAATGTACAATAAAGAATCTTTATTAAAAACTGGATGATTCTAACGTATGTCTATTATTACTTCATGAGAGAAACAAACTTTCATTTGCAAACTTTAAAAAGTTTTTGCACAAGCACCTGAAGTGATTTTCTTTTGCCCTATTAAGATTTCTTTGAGATACTGAGTCTTTGCCTTTCTCCTGTGATTAATTGTAGAGGTAAAATAGGTTCTTACAGTAAAATATTTTCCTAATATGAAAAAAATTGGGCTTCCAGTTCTTAACACTGGGCTGAGCAGGTCCTATAGCTTATCTAGGAGCAATGGAGGGGGTGGGAATGGGCTGATTCCAAGGCTGTCCTCTATTCCTGTTCCATGTTTGTTTTTCTACCTGTTTTTCAGTGAAACTTACTGTAGTATTATCCCCATGGCATAGAGAGAGCATGGCAGAGATTAATATGCACATTTGAGCAAAGAAAGGTAATTGGGCAGGAGAGAAAATGTCAGGCCTGACCTTCCTTTCTCCTCTCTTTGTTCTTTTTTCTTCTTCCTGGCATAGTTATCTATTCCCCCTTAGATGTCTTTGTAACACAGTAAAGATATGGCTGTTTAAGATCACAAAATGCAAACAGAAAGCAAATACAATATTTGTAATTTATAATATACAAATAAATCTAAATAAATAAATAATAAAAATCAAATACAATTCCACCCTCAAATTTTGGCCAGTTGAATGGGATGACCTGAAGGGAGGAGAATGAAGTGAGGTGGAGCAAAAACACCCATGCATATTCGCACACCTGCAGACATGAGCCCATGCATTTAGAGAGCTGGAAGCTCTTCTGTACACAGAATTGTCAGGAAATGTATTTGTTTTTTCCTGCTGTTTCCTCTATCTCTATTATTGCTTTTCAAATGCAAATTACATTATCACTGAGCTTCATTTGCTCTCTGGCCTCTAATATTTAGCAACTGTGCTCTTCGTGGAGTTGACAAAGCAACCCACTCAGTGGAAAATGCCCTGTGAGTGTCAGCGGCAGAGACCAGAGATATCAGATTATATTTTAGTAGCTCCATCCTCCCATTAGATTTGAACCACAGGGTGACATCTATCTTTGCCAGGACTCACCTGGACAAGCTAAATCATTATCTTTTGGGGTTGGGGTCTGGGTATCAGCCTTTAATCTGTAACTAACCAACCAACCAACACTCAGTGTGGTTTCTGATAAGACCTCGATGTTAAGAAGCACTGATTTCGAGAAGAGTCTCACTCTTGCATAAAGGCCTTAGAATTTGCCAAAGAGTATTTAGAAAACTTAAAGGAAAGTTTGTCTTTTGATTTTTTTTTTTTCCAAATGAACTTCACTTTTAAAGAACGCAGTCATTTCCCTTTATTTCATTTTTGTCTGTCTTTTGGGAGTTTTTTTTTCCCCCTCCCAAGTTGACTTAACTTGATATTTTACATGCTGCTTCTTTTTACGTGTTTCACAAATGTTCTGGGAAGTTTGGGTTTCATCCTGTACATTGCTGTGTTCTTGGCTTAAAATGTGCCTTGAACCAAGCCTGTGGTGGTGGTAGTAGGATGCACTTTTTTTTCCAACTCAAATTGATTAGTTGATATTTTTCCTCTCTGGCAAACAGATGGTGAATTGAACATGGCTCTTTGCTTTTTTTCTGAGTAGCTGCCTGAGTGGGGATTATATAATGAATACTACAAAAGAACTGCTCAATCAAGAGATTGTACATTAAGCAGAAACAAAGATGCCACAGCCAGTGTAAGATGTTTTGTCATAGGACAAAGAAGTCGTGTGTCTCTCTCTCTGCTGGGTTATTTAATGACTTACTCAGAAACAGCTTTTACTTTATCCAAAGAAAATCACCATAATTAAGCTGTCTATCCTGAAATTGGTAGTGTATTTTTTTTTAATAACAGTCAGTGAAACACAAGTGCTTAAAATCTATTTTTAAAAAAGCCCAAGTGACTTTTTAACAAGCACAGGTGTTGCCATCAGGAATGTGACCCCTGCATCTCTCATGAGGATGCTAGGAATCACTTTCCTTCTCACATTTAGCATTTTATATTTTTATAAAATTTCTCTAAATATTCTACAGTTAGCTTTTTATTGGTGTCTTGGAGGAGTACTGATTTAACTACGGGTTGCCTTTCTTTTTTTTTCATTTTTTAAAAAATTTAACTTGTTATATGACAGCAAAATGTATTACAATTCATATCACACATATAGAGCACAATTTTTCGTATCTCTGGTTGTACACAAAGTAGAGTCACACCATTTGTGTCTTCATACATATAGAGTAAGAATTAATGTCAAGAATCAATAAATGGGATGGATTCAAACAAAAAAGCTTCTTCTCAACAAAAGAAACAATCTGTGAGGTGAATAGAGAGTCTACAATTTGAGAGTGAATTTTCACCACACATACATCAGATAGAGCACTAATCTTTAGGATATATAAAGAACTCAAAAATCTTAACCCCCCCCCAAAACCCAAATAACCCAATCAATAAATGGGCCAAGGGGCTGAACAGACACTTCTCAGAAGAAGATATACAATCAGTCAACAAATATATGAAAAAATGTTCAACATCTCTTGCAATTAGAGAAATTCAAATCAAAACTACTCTAAATTTCATCACACTCCTATCAGAATGGCAGCTATTAATAATACAAACAACAATATGGGTTGCCTTTCGAATGACACGTCTTTCTTCAGAAACTTAGAATGTCTTGGTAGGTTCTGGAAATTTAGGTAGACAAAGACATTGGTCCATCTTCTCAAACTTGACTTTTAAACAGGCAAATGTATGGTGAGGATGAAAGTTATAGTTTAGGAGCGCTTGCTTCAATTCATCTTATGAAGAAGTTCATTTTAATGTGAGGTTGGATGAACTTCAGTTCATTTTATAAAACATTTTGGAGTGAAGAAGGAGCCTTGGGATTCTGACCTGTTGCCCATGTTGGGACTTTTCTCCAGGTTTCTTGGTTTCATCAAGTGATGGTTGCTTGATGCTGTTTCTCTAATTTCTTTGCTTATCTTATGCTTGAACCTATCCAGCAACAAATTATGATGCTCACTCTTCTCTTGCTCAACTCAGTTGCTAGGGGATTATGCTCATCTCTCTGTGGCTTCACACTACTTAAGCAACCCACTCCAATTCTGTGGTTACTATACTCTCCATGGTCCATTTGATTCTCATAGAGTTATTACAGTTAAGATAATCTTAAATATAAATCTCAATGTCTTAGAATGTTCTGGAAATTTAGGTAGACAAAGACGACATTGGTTCATCTTCTCTAACTTGACTTTTAAATAGGCAGGCAAATGTATGTTGAATATTTAGGAGTGCTTGCTTCAGTTCATCTTATGAAGAAGTTCATCTTACTATGAGGTTGGATGAACTTCAGTTCATTTTATAGAACATTTTGGGGTGAAGCAGGAATTGCTGATGATACGGAAAAAAATAGAGATGGTCTCTGATCTAATGATGGTTCGATTTAAGATTTTTTTTTAAATATTTTAAAGTTGTTGATAGACCTTTATTTTATTTATTTGTATGTGGTGCTGAGAATCTAACCCACTGTCTCATGTATGCCAGGCAAGCCTGCTACTACTGAGCCACAACTCCAACCCCAAAGTTTTTTTATTCTCATAGTGGTTGTACCCAAACAACAATTCTGTCTCTCATTTTTAGTACAGTACTCAATAAATTATGTGAATCATTCAACATCTTATTATAAAAGGCTTTGTGTTAGATGATTTTTCCCAACCACAGGTGAATGTAAGTGTTCTGAGCACATTTAATGTAGCCTATGAAGAGATATGATGTTTGGTAAGTTAGGTGTATTAAGTGTGTTTTTGATTTATGATATTATCAGCTTAGGATTGGTTTAATAGGACATCTCCTTATCATAGGTTGCATCTCTGTATGCCTTTCTGTCTTTAATTAGTCTATAGTTTACCTTGATTGTGTGTTTATAACTACATCTCTGTTTCCAGGGCACAGTCAGGACACCATCAATCCAGTTAGACAGGAAAGAGGGCATCCTCCTTTTTCCTGAGGCCCCAGGAGCATTTAACTGTGCTGGAGACCTTTCCAACATGCATTGAAAGTGACCCTTCTGTGTGCGAGCATTCTTCTACCCTTGTCTTGCCAGTTTTCCACCTCTGTTTCTGACCTCTGGCTTTGAACTTGACTTTGATTCCTCTCTGTATCTTTTACTTCTCTTTTAGATTTGTACTCTTCCCACTCCTATCCTGTGGCTTGACCTTGCATTATGTCAATTTATTTCTGACACTCTAGAAACTGTCTTGCTCTATTACATATTTAGGATGATCCTTGTGATCTTGCTGTCTTCCTATTGAAATGTTTGTGGATAATTCTACATTTCTGGGCTAACGCAAATGCCCTTTATTAAAAATGAACTGCCAGACAGACTTAGGGATGATGAAGTGTCTAAGATATGTGATTTGTCTTTTGTTAGTTCTTTTTAGACACACAACAAATTGATTTTATTTTCTGAGAGCTTTTCTTCATAACTTACAGCCATTCTCTGCTAATTATACTTCCAATTTCTCTTGAGAATAATAAAATGAAAGACTGTCTTTGGATTTTACATAACTAAATTTATAGAAAAGAAAAATTGTTTTCTTTCCTGAGATATCTTGTTACATTTCAGGATTTACAAATATATTAAAATTCAGAAGTCACTGAAAACTCTAGATCATTTATTAATCAAAGTAACCATTTTCTCCTTCCTTTGAGTGTATGTTTAGGTGAATTAGTGGTGAAAATACCCTGATCATTGTAACCTTGTCTCTATATACTCTGGTAGTAACCCATCGAAAGGTGAAATTTGCACTTGGCCTTGAAGAATGTACAATTGGTCAGACAACTCAACTACCAACTACTATTCCTTTCTTGTTTGTTTATTTGTTTGTTTGTTTATTCCAATCTCAGAATTGACTCCGGAGGAGAGAGCCCAGAAGATTGCCAAAGCCATGCGTAAGCAGTCTTCTGAAGTCAAAGAGAAGTGGGAAAGTCTAAATGCTGTCTCTAGCAACTGGCAAAAGCAAGTGGACAAGGCCTTGGAGAAACTCAAAGACCTGCAGGGTGCCATGGATGACCTGGATGTGGACATGAAGGAGGCAGAGGCCGTGCGGAATGGGTGGAAGCCAGTCGGCGACTTGCTCATTGACTCACTGCAGGATCACATCGAAAAAACCATGGTCAGCATTGCTGCTTTTGACAAAGAATTTTTAATGAATGTTTTATTATCAAATATAACACAAATAGAGAGAGCCAGGTAGATGAACTGTTATAAGGGAGTTTAAAAGGCAACACCACTGCAACCCCAACCCAGGTTGAGTTGTGACAGATGTTTTCCACATAATTGCTTGTAGTCTGAACCCTTCCCTCAGTAACCTCGGAGGTGACTTTTAATGTCCAGATTAACCCTTTCTTCCTTTTTTTCCTTCACTTCCAGTTTATTTGTTGAAGAAATAAATATTTGCTTTGTAGTGTTGCTCACTGCCTGATTCTGCAAGATTGTATCCACGTAGTATGCCCCGTGGCTTCCTCTACTCCGTATTTCCTGGGAACTGGTAGTTGGATTTAGAGTTTAATCAAAAACATGCAGTTTTACTGGAAATTCTCATCTATAAATTTTATCTTATTGTCTCAGTATATTAATGAAGGATGAGTTTAGCTATAATTCCATTCATTGTTAGGAATGCCCAGGTAAGATGTTAGACCCACGATCTACCCTTTGGTTCCCACATTCTAGAACATCTCCAGAGAAAAACATAATGAACTTTAGAAGAGAAACAAATAACAGATTTAGAGTGTAGTAGGTTTTGTAGTGATATATTAAACTATATGTTAGGTAGTCATGAATCAAATCAAAAGATAAGACAAGGAAAACTTAAGTGTTCCTCTAACAATGTCCAGTACACATGGAATTTTTATTGCAAAAAGTACATGTCTTTTGTGCATAGATATTGGAAGACATTCTTCCTTTATATACGTGTGGCTGAAAGAAAGAAGACCTGAAAAATCAAATGAATACTTAAGCAAATTATATAAGTAAATACATGTCTCTGTAGACAAAAGGATAACAATAGCTAGCATTTATCAAGGCTTACTATGTGCCAAGAATTGTTCTTAGCCAATTTACATGTGTGTCTTTTTTAATCTTTATACCAACCCAAGGAGACAGTTGTTATTATCATGCCTATTTTATACATAACAAGCTGAAGGTAATTGCTCAAACTGAATATAGCTATGAGGTAGTAGTTCTCATGTGTTTTATTTGATTTTTTGCTGTTGTT